ATATTATACCTGAACATTTGGTTTTTCTTGCCTAAATGTAGAACCTTACTTTTTTCACCATTGAATTTCATTTTGTTAGATAGAGCCCAGTGTTCATGTCTGTCCAGATCCTCCTGTATCCTAACCCTGTCTTCTGGAGTGTTGGCTATTCCTGCCAGCTTGGTGTCGTCTGCAAATTTGATGAGTTCCCCATCTATCCCCTTGTCCAGATCGTTGATGAAGATTTTGAAGAGCACTGGTCCCATTACACACTTCCCTCCATGTAGACGCAGTTCCATTGAGGACCACATGCTGAGTACGGCCGGTCAGCCAACTATGGATCCATCTGGTGGTGATGCTGTCTAACGCACATTTTTCTATCTTATCAAGTAGTAGGTTGTGGTCTACTTTGTCAAACGCCTTACTGAAGTCCAAGTAAATTATATCCACAGCATTCCTCTGGTCCACTAATTTTGTCACTTGGTCAAAGAATGCAATAAGATTTGTCTGGCATGATCTGTTTTTGACAAACCCGTGTTGGTTTTTAGTAATGACTTTGTTTGCCTGTAGGTGTTCGCTGATTCATTATTTGATTATTTTTTCTAGAATCTTCCCAGGTATTGAGGTCAGGCTGATAGGTCTGTAATTTTCTGGGTCCTTTTTTCCCCTTTTTTGAAGATGGGAACTACATCAGCTCTTTTCCAGTCCTCTGGTAATTCCCCAGTGCTCCAGGATCTTTGAAAAATATAGTATAAGCTCTCCGTGTATATATAAACAACAAAGTGATATACCATAAATCATAAGGTATAATAATAAATCACAAGATACAAACTACAAAGTGATAAATCATAAGATACTGATAGGAGAAGGTAATAGGAAAGATGAGAAAAACAATAGCAATACAGCCCTACTATATGGGTAAATATCCTTAGGTATAAGACAAGTGTTGTAGAAATTAGGTGTTTAGCAGAGTGGTGGCATGGGGAAAAAACCTCTGTCTTTGTGTCTAGCTGTTTCAGCATGCAATGCCCTCTAGTGATGTCCTGAGGGGAGGAGTTTTTATGTCCAGGATCCGCCTCAAGATGGCACCACCTATGACAGCCTCTGTAAAATGTTCTCTAGTAGTTATTTATCTTTGTAAATAGAATAATCAAGAATTTCTATACAATGGATTAATAACTGAATATATACAGTATTAGCTTAAATGGATATAGATTTATAGTTTGCATAGTTTGCATTCACCGTCTGAAAGAAGCACTAGAAAATCACTGAGGACTTTTTTTGAAAGGTATTTGGGAATCTAAAATGAAAAGCTTATGTGCAATCAGATATTCTTCTCTGCAGCTGGATTACTGGTATAATCAATTTACATAGACTTGTCAAAATTTCCCATTCCTTAATAATTGTGGGAGGACACCCTCACACAAGTAAGATCTGTTCTTGCTTTATGATAAATGGTATAAAAATTTTAGCTGTAATACTGGGATGGCTATTGAGACATATATGATTTCTTCGCTCTTGGCCAGAGATATAGAGAGGGATTTGTTTACTTTTTTACTAGCTTATATGCACTTCCAGTTATCACTCATGCTGAGCAGCTTGACATACTGTATTCCCTAAGTAAAGGTTAAAAATTACACATAAAAATCTCTCTCAAATTAACTCTCAGTTAACTCCCAGTTCTATACCAGGTACCATAAACTGACTCAATTCCAAAACAAAATATCTCATTATAAGAGGGAATACTTCATCATATTTCGGTCCCCAAGTCTTGTTGGAAAAACTAGGTTCCAGTGGCCTTTCTAAGAGAGGTTGAGGCCATACCCTTCTCCTGGACAATTTCTGTTCTAAAGAAATCTGACCTAAGAATGTTTCCATTTTGCTGATCATCTGTCTATTTAATTTTTTCCCAACGTTGGTAAATTGAGTTTAATATTGAAAAAAGTTAGTACCAATGTTTTAGAAAAGAAATACTGGATCTGCTGGAACTAAGCAATTCTTGGGCCCATGGCATTATTTCTAATGACTATAGATATATTGTCTCCCAGTGATTTCATGGAAGCTTTCATTTCCACCCTCCTGACAGCAGCCTGGGAGGAGGTAAATATTGCAGAACTTCTGACTTCCCAATGCTTCATAAATATCCTTTCATGTAGGATTGCTTTGCCAATCTCTTTTCTGTTCAGGAGTGGTTACAGTGTTTGAATACTATATCACAGCACAGAAGTTAGCAGGCTTAGCTTAACCTTTTATATCGCTTGTAGCCATAATTACTTTCAACCCTTCCTGCAAGCAGCTTTTCTCTATTTCCTGAAAGTTTATGTCAAAGTCATTATTTTATTTTAAAATTTTATTACAGCTGCAAACTTTCTACCCAGCCAAGCTTTAATCTAATCTTAAATATAGTCTCAGAATTATTGGTGGTGGTTTTAAAGGCTGCAAAGAGAAGCAAGCTGACGAAATTATCTTTGGCATGCAGCTTGTTTTACAAAGGTTTAAGTACTCCTTCCTCTTTGCACACTCATGCTGACCCGAAGTGCTTTTTTAATGTTTTCTCATCAAGAAATTAATAATAATTAAAATGTTGATAGGATCAATTATGCCACAGGCATATACTTCAGAATTCTAATAGTACTTCAGGCATTAATGAATAAATATTTCAGAAAAGTGAGCACTGTTTAAACACTTGGAAGGGAACAAGTGTATACTGATGAACATTGAAATGAGTCTCTTTTTAAAACCAGATCTTTAATATTAAAAATGCTTCATCTACTTAAAACAAAGTGTGGTATTGTAAGTAACTCTTGCAAATCTGTAGGGTCACTATAACCTTAATAAGATATGTGAAACTTCCAAGGCATATTGTGATATACTCTAACTCATCAAATTATCCCCTATCTATTCCCTCTTTACTTATAAAGAACTATCTAGAAAAAGCCTAGCACCCCCCCCCAAAGGCTTATTTAAAATATTATGGATTCCAGGTATTTAGTGCTTTTTCCACCATCCTAATAAAAATCAGGATGTTTCTCAACTATTACATCACTATGCTATATTGTCAGATTCTTTTGTAAAAGCATTTTGATTACATAATGGGCCTATTCCTCTCAGTGGGAAAAATCATATTCCCCTTTAGGCATAGGTGACCTGACTAGAAATGTTTATGAAATTATTACCTTCTTTACATTAGGTTGCAGCTCAAAGTTAGTAGAAAGGTCATATGAAATTTATATGAATATTTTCTCTAGATCAAGTGTCCACATGTATCGCTGTTGTTAAGATTATTTCTATATTTGTGAACATTCTTCCTGGTTGTGGAATATTGTATTAGCTGAGCAATAGCTTTCTACCATTCCAGTGCTCAAAACAGCAATGCCACATTGAAAAGCAAGATAGATTGGCTATGTTGTTAAACCAGACAGATTAGTTCTATTCTCCAATATACAGCAAAACTGCAACTAAAAAAATGCATTTTTCTTTAAAAGATGGCTGCATACAAGACAATGCCTTACAAATGCCAACTGGCTCTGCAACTTATTCAACCAAGGAAAAATAAATTCTTACAAAGTATCAGTTTTAAGACCCACTGAAATCTTCTTTCATGTTCTTTCCAACATTGCAAAAATCTCCCTTTTTCAGTAGCTTCTTAGCAAAAGCAACCCCTAGAAATGAAAAAGGTCATGCGATGTTTTGGAATAAAACTTAAACATTTGGGTAATATGGCTAGAATAGACTTGTTCATGGACTTGTATGAAAATACATGGAGCTCAGCTCCAAACGGAAAACACATCAGCTTCTTTCTAGTCTGCATCCTTTAGACAAAAAGCACGATTGCTTGTTTGGCTTGAATATAAATTCATTGGTCAGTGGGATTAGTGGGATCTATGCTTTATTCAGATCGTGGTCACATAGACACCTGGAAAAAGCAGGGGGGTAGTATTTCTTTAAGGCCTTTGTCTAAATGAGGTCATTTGGAATAGTTATCTATAGCCCATGCTTAAACCTTAAATCCCACTTTATAACCACACCAAATTGATTGAAAAGAATGCTATTGCTGGTACGTTTATAACAGCGCCTGAGTGAAGGAGTTATAAGTGTGTGAAATTTGGAATGATCTAGATCAGCATAAACCACTTTATCTGCTTTACTACAGTTTCATAATGTGAAACAGATTGTTTTCATTCTTACATTTTTCAATACCAAACTGGTAATAGATTTATGCTTACTGTATTTCATGCTAATGTGCAAATAAATTTTAAATGAAAATTTTATCAGCAAATGAGGACCAGGAGTTATTTATATCATTGACCTAACAGTCCAACATTTCTTATTTGATCTAAAGGTAGGTCTTACATGTTTAACTTCCTGGCACTTTGGAACCATCAAATATTTCCAAATGATCAAGTCTGAAAACAATTCCAAGAGGAATTAAAAAGTCTCCTTCCATCTGAAATATAGGCTATCAGCTCTCAACTTGCCTGTCTGTGTGAAATAGCAGGTTCTTGTCTCTGATGTGGCAATTTTGTTTAAAATAGCCTTGATGATGGCAGGGTACATGAGAATGAAAAAAATCAAAAAGATGACAGCCTAATCTTCAAAGATGACCGATCACAGATAAAAGATTAAGTAACTCAGCATTTGAAATACCAGATTATCTGTCTCCTGGCATCATGTCTGTATACCTCTCCTGCTGAGTTCTGCCAAGATACAACTGACATGTAAAGATGCTACATCTTACACAACTGAATTGCTATAGAGAATTCTGTTCCCTCCAGCCATCGGGTTAGAAGAAACAAATCCCCAACTGAAATATTAGTTAATCAAACATATGTTTTAGACATACAAGAGGTAAATATATTTAGAGCCAGTTATATAAAAGCCTTTAAAATAGTTCATTTTGCCATATTTAAGCATTCACAGATGGGCTATCAATGGGTAAGTAATGATTGCACACCTATTATTACTATTTTATGTATCCCAATTTTTTAAAAAAATAAATATGGGAAGAAAAGCATACTTACAAGGATTATTAAACATGCTGGTCCTATAAAACTCCATATAAAGTTATTCTTTGTGCTGAGCCAACATCTGTAAGGTAAGTAGGACAAAATATTTTGAACTACATTTACAGATTAAACCATCTTGGCCTGGTATTGATATTGAAGCAAAATATCTTACTTTGGTATTCTTATTTCTAGACAAATGTTACTGAATGCATTGTTCCTGGGACTATTAGCTCCCCATTTTTTGTAGACATGTATAGTGTTTCGAAGTCATGCTTCATTTCCAGAGAGGCTTGGAAGAAGCGTACTTTCAAACCTTTTTAGAAAAGCACTGCACACTAATTTAAAAAGGGAGGTGAATCAGCCATGTCACTTCACTTCACATTGTTTGAATCCCTGGTCAGGCAATCAGCTACTGGATAGGTCAGAAAAAGCTTTGGAGAAAGACATTGTATCCTCCAAATTCTAGAACTGAGGAAAGAGATGATAAGGAAGAAAGGCTATGGGAGGTACCTAGACAAGGAGCATTGTGTTACTTCCATGGTAATATGACATGACAATAGCCAAGTAACTATGAGTTCTAGTCTTGTCTTAGGCATGAAAACAAGTTGGGTGATCTTAGGCCAGTGATTCTCTCTCAGCCCAACACACCTCATAGTTGTTGTGGAAAAAATAGGAGGATAACGGAGTATTAAGTATGTTCATTGCCTTAAGTTACCTGTAAAGTACTAAAGGTGGGATAAAAATCTAATAAACAAATAAATGTCTCAAAGAACCTTGCTGACACATAATTGGACCACCTTGGATAGGTCTTATTCCTTGTTAGATGATATAGTCTTGCCTTAAAGAAGAATGAGGTGAGGAAAAAGGAGTCAGTGAACAGATAGTAATGAACAAAAATTGATACAAAATATGGAAGAGGCCCCAGAATTCTCCATCCCTGAGAGTGACAGAGCTGCCTTTTCAGAATAATTTGAATGAAATTTGAGGCAAAAATATTTTTTTTGAAAGGAGATAATTTGGCCAAATTTTATCAATGCCTGATTGCTAGTTTCTAATTGTTGACTGCCTTCATGTGCAGGAATACGGTGTTGTCAACCCTGTTTGGGCAGGTTACAAAGAAAACAGATAAAGTCATGCCAGAATGAAATTATTTGAATTGGAAAAAAGATAAGGGAACAAACCTACATATTTACATAATAGGGAGATAATTTTTTTCTTGAAAATCCAATATTTAAATGTTGAAATAGCATTGAAATTAGTTTTGCAGTAGCTTGTATAAAAGAGAAGAGAAAGGAGGAGAGAGAGAGTAAGTTACTATACATCAGAAAACGTAATAAGCAATCTATAATAAGAAAAAAGCTTGGGAAATAGATATACAGCATATAATATCAAACCAGGGCTGCTAAGAATTGCCTTCTTCCAGGGAAATGAATGGAGAAACCTTTATAGATGAGACCACTAAATTTGATCATTTGATTTTCTCTTGCTTCAGAAATAAATACATAAAAATGTCTTGCCTAGAATGTAAACATTCAGTCTTGATTATCTCATTTAGACTTGGTTACAGATGACAGTTTCCCCCTGAATTGCTAGACTGGGTTTCATCCAATTCAACAGAGGAGACAGAACTTTGGAATAAAGTGTCTATACATTGAAGCATAGGTAGATATGCGTCTGAGGCTAAATCTCTTCCCTCACTATCAAGGATCTTACGAATGTTTCTGCTATTTCGTAAAAAATCAAGTGCACTCGAGACACAATGAGGATGGTCAGCACAGGAACACTGATCCCTTATTGGGTCTCCTACTCATTCTTAAATGAGGAATACTGAAGTCAAAAGTGTTAATGATATTTCAAAACTGTCAGTGTCAAATGACTAGATTTGTTAAAAATATTGACAAAGACAATATCATAGCCAAAGCATGGTTGTGCCATCGCATCCTGACAGACTGTATTTGGACTATGTTTGAAGTATCTACGATGTAAATAGTAACTTACACATCAGTTGTTCCATAGTATTTATATCCCAGTGCAGCAGAAATGCCAACCACTACTGCTGGGCTTACATAGCCAAAAATATAGAAATTCTTGTGTAAGAATCCTTTATTGTAGATTACTCCAACAACTATAAGATACAAGTGAATGCCTTCGATACACATCCATGCAAAAGCTGCTAGGAGGAAGTAATGGAGCAGTCCAGCCGTGATGGAACAGAATAGCTAGAAGGGGGAAAAAGGAACAGTATAAGTGACTAATATAAAATAGTGCATTTATTATTCTTCCTGTACAGAGGAAGCACCGGTATTTCTGAAATTTTGTCTCAATACAAGACCATTAAGACCCTGTCATCGTTTGTCTGAATGTGTATAAGGAAACACTTGGACCAATGTCATTTGAAAACTGAAGCAACATATATGCTTGTTTTGCCCATGTAAAATTTCTAGCTCGAAATATTCACCCTGACACATCAGACTATGCAAACTGCAGGCTAATGTATTCTCCCTTCCATGAGATAGAGTTAGACTTCTCTTGCTTTCCTTACAGCAACATTTTTCTATACTGATTAAAAATAAAGCGACCAATAAAACAAATTGGCAGAACTCCTGCTGATATTGGAACATTGCCAGTCTAAACAATTAAGAGTCTGCCTCCACTTTCATTAACGAAAATCTCAATTCGCCATGAAGTCCAGAGGCAGAAGAACTATTCAATGGAGTTTGTATACTCTGAACTGAACTGAATTGGCTGGAACTGTTAGATGAGAATTTTAAAACCCCTCTAGTGATATAATAATGTTAAATGCCAATATTTACCTTAAGACTGGGTGATACCATACAGGTAGTGTCTGTTATATACACACCTGTACATCATGGCATAAATGAGAAAAATGATGCAATCTGTGTGATGACATACAAGGCAAATGACATCACATAGTTCCACAAAGGCCCATTAGGGCACACACCTTTGAAAATGGCTACTTTAAGGTACCATTTTCGGCATAAGAAATAATACTCACCTTATTAGTGTTCATGTTAATTCCGATCAAAAAAATAAACTCTGCCAGGAAAAGGCTGCAACAGAGATTTTTATGGATTGTTGTTCTCGTACTTTGGATTTCACTGAAGAACCAGAAGGTGAAAATGCACATGGCGAGACAAATCAATGAGATAATTATTCCAAGCTGAGTGATTCTTGTAAGAATATAATCCTTAGTTTCCTGGGATTGAAAAAAAGAGAAAAGAATAGTCTATATGATCATTTGAATAAAACTTTATTTTTATTCTTTTTCCAAAGATTTTCCACATTGTGTGTGTGTGTGTGTGTGTGTGTGTGTGTGTGTGTGCGCGCGCGTGCTATAGCATGTAAAGGGCAGATGCACCTGCTCCATCATTGTATGGATTTTTCCTGGTTCCAGAAATACAGTAAATGAATAAAAATCTCTTGCCTAGAATGTTTATTTATTTTAGTCTTGATTATCCATTTCAGTCTTGATTGCAGATGACTGTTTCCCTCCCCTCCCCTCCCCTCCCTTCCCTTGTCTCTGTTCCTTTTTTCTCTCTCTTTTTTGTTATTATTCAAATTATTGAAAGTGACTGGCACAGAGGAAGGAGAAATTAGTGTTGGTTTCATTTTAATGTCAATTGTACCCTTTCTGAATATCAAAATAATCTTTGTACATTTCTGAATGTTTCCATGTCATTCATAAATAAAAAAAAAGATATTCTAAAGTTATAATGAAGAATGTTGGCACGGAAATGGATATGCATATGAAGAAAACTGAAACACATACTTTAGTTACTTTTCATGTAATTTATTAGCATAACTCAGGGTCAGCGCTGCAAAGTCTAATTTTTGAAATGCCATCTCCAAAGTGTGAAAAGTGTGAAACTTCTGTGTGTTCTTCATTCTAAACCTCTGGAGTGAGCACACACTGTGAATATTAAAAATGATGAAGGACAAATGAGGGTCTTTCTAATGGCTTTCTGAGATAAAGTACAGAGACAAAGAAGTGTAGAAAAGTGTTTTTAATGAAACCCACAGTTTTTGCCCAGAATAAGTTTGGCAAGGGAAAAGAAAAAAAAAAAAGTTTGGACACCAATCAATTCTCTTTCACTTTCAGAGAATTGATCAGTGGGGCAGCTGGAAAAGGTAGCGATTGCAGGAAGATAGGTTAAACTGTAGATAAATATAATGCTCTTTGTCACATTGCAGAGTCAGATTGTTAAAGAGACTTCATTGATCCATGCAATTTTACCAGGGATGCTGGAACTTTGGCATGCAACTGTCGCAATTTCTATTGTCTGTGAAACATAGTGCATGGACTCATAGCACGTATAGATCTCTCATTTCCATTGGACCTTTCTTCCAACTAAGTATAGGTGAGAATAGCTTTTGAAATGGAAGATTCATTTCGAGTTCAGATTTTGTAAAGCATAAGGCGGCCCATTTTTTTTAAATGAAGACACATCAAAAAGTAAATGAACAGCTAGCCAGTTAAAAAAAATGAGGTGTTCCATGATAAGCCATGGAAAATGAGCAGCAAACAACCCTCCAGCATAGAAAGTAAGATGGCTATCTAGAGATTTTAAGAATGTGATGTTCAGGGTCAACCTAGCCACAGAAATATCTAATCCTGAAGAAGGAAGTGGAGGAGGAGGAGATTAATCTGTTTGCAGAAAATATACCTTATGGGGTTTATGATCCCAAAATAGAAAAGACTAATTAGAAAATTAGTCTTTAAATTAAAAAAAACCACTTACAACTTTAGAGCCATTTGAAGACATTAAGACTGCAAAATGAGTAAGATGGTTACATCTGCATGAGGTATGTGTGCTATTGGAGTGGGTCCTCTCACATCCTTCTGTGGCCCACTTCCCTTCCATAGTGTCTTCTGAATAATTCCAAAATACACATTTAACGTCCTTTTTGCCTACGGTCTGGAGCAGAAACAAAATGTGTTAAGAATGATAAACGGCATATAATTATGTGAGCCTCTTCTAACAAACAACCTCACTCCTGAAATTTGGCAGGTCTTAAAAATCTGGCTTTTCCTTTAGTGCCTGGGCCAGGATGCTAGTTGCATTTTATGTTATTGGACAATCCATAAGGAATCACAGTTAGCTTTTTTAAAAAAATTGATTGCTGTCTCATTTTTTTTTAGACATCCAAAATCAGTATATTATTCTTTGCTTGCACCTTGTATATTATTCTTTGCTTGCACCTTGCCAAGGTGGTATACATACTTCATTTTCTGTTGGATATATTTGACTTGCTTTCAATCTTGAACTTCTAACATTTATGAAAAATGCCTCTATTTTTTAAAAAATGTCCTTCCACCATCCCTTCTCCTTTATTCTACCTCCAAAGTTTACACATGGGATGTTGTTATTATTATACCCTGTACTTCCTCCAAATAATTCACAATAGGTCCTTGACATTCATGAGAGTGCCTAAATCAAGAAGCACTTACTTTCCAAGAATATTTATATGAGCTGTGGTGGCACAGTGGTTAGAATGCAGCACTGCAAACTATTTCTGCTGGCTGCTGGCTGTCAGTAGTTCAGCAGTTCGAATCTCACCAGCTCAAGGTTGACTCAGCCTTCCATCCTTCTGAGGTTGGTAAAATGAGAACCCAGATTGTTGGGAGCAATATGCTGACTCTGTGAACCCTTTAGGGAAGGCTGCAAGGTATATAAGTCTAAGTGCTATTGCTATTGCCATTTAGTGGGTTTTACGGCTATGTGTGGATTAGAATGGTCGCCTTTTCAATCCACATTTATCATTCTGTAGCCCTCAGCTGCTATGTACTATCACTGTATAATGGCAAGTAATCCAACATGAAATATCCAGACTTATACAGCTATTCTGTAAAACTGTCACTGTGATTGCTGATGGATATAAGAAACAGTGGCACTATTCACTTAGATGCCCTGTTAAATTTTATTCTTTGTGTTTGCTGTACTTTGCTAAGTAATATAAGGAATGCAACAGCCTCACACTTTGCAAGGGAAAAATGCTCAGAATTGACAGTTGGAAGTACAAACTTATTGGCATTGATCTTTTAGGACCTCATAATCTACTGATTATCAGAGGGCAGTAGGGCATCAGCAGAATGTTAAGGGGTTTACTTCACCTATTACTGCTTGTCTAAGAGATTTCTAATCTGAAATATTTCTTTTTTTTTCTTTTTTCCTGGGTATATGGTAGGAACCAACCATCTACGCTTTACTTATTCCTATAATGCATTTTCTATAAATCAATCTTTTTTTTACACTTACAAAATGTGCTTAATTCTTTCTTGGGTGCTGTTCTCTTTTTCACAAACACCAATATACACTTTAATCTCCAACAAGGGAAAAAGCGTGGATTGCACTTGCACATTGTTGACAAATATGTAATAAGAATTCCATGCAGTCATTATTCTTGTCAATTTCTAGCCACACTTTTCAGTAGCTACCTATTCCTACTCCCTGCCTTGCCCTTGCTGTGCTAAATTCAATGTTGTAATTTCCCTTCTAATTATATTGTGCCACGTTGGCTAAACAACAGAGTTATAAGGATACTGCCAAAGCAACCTTTGCAACACACAACAGAATAATTACAGTCTTAAGTGAGAGACAATTTAAAAAGAAAGCTTACCTGTGCATGTTTTAAAGTAAATATTATGTTCTCAGCTGAATATAGTCCAGGTGGAGTGGACCTAATTGCAACAGCTATAACTGATGAACCTACTATTTCTCCATCCTCTGTACTTTCTATGAGGGACAAGTTCTGTGGTAATGAAAGCAGAGCTCCAATATTGTCGTATCGCAGAAACACAACTGCAACTGTGCCTATCCATCAAATAAAACATGGTTAATGTTTGAGAATTGTTGGGTTTTTTTTTAAAATGGAAATAGTAAAACAACATTTAAAAAACACCAAGGAAACAGTGATCAAAAGACCTTTGTAAAACTCTGACAAGAATACCAAATCAATGGAAACTTTGCAGAACACTTATGGAAAGACTAAAGAAATGGAGGAAATATTTGCTTTTGAAAGCAATAAGGGCTGCGCCAATATTAGAAATTAAATTTAATGATAAAAAAATTCAATCCATGAATATTGTCCATATTTTGGGAAGGTAATCTTCCAACCATACAATTTAAGAGGCTGTTAAATTCTAGGCATCAGGGGATTAGTTTCCAATCCCAGACACAGGGGTGTCCACATTAGCCACTGCAACTATGCAAGTGAATCTCCACCTCATGTTTAGATGCATCAACCAAAAGGTTAAAGTAAAAAAAAAAAAGGTTCAAGATTTTGATTGTGTAGTCATGACTGCCATTGTCTTTTTTTTTTATGCCCTTGCACATCCCCTGCTCATAATTCTACAAGCAATATATCTCTTATAAACTGGCAACATTCTGAATGTAGACCTACCAGTGGTGGGATTCAAATATGTGAAAAACTGGTTCTCTGTGTGGATGCCGCATCCGGAAGTCCATTCTGGGCCTGGGCAACAAAAAATTAGCTACCAGTTCTGCCGAAGTGGTGCGAACTGGCTGAATCCCACTACTGTGACCTACTGAATATCTTTTCCTAACAAGTGACTTTGCTTGGAAATGGTAATGACAGAAGAGTGATCAAAATGATTAAAATGTAAGAAACCTCAGCAAATGCTTTTAAAATCCAGTAATTTGGATTCCTTACTTCTCGTCATTTAAACTTAAATACAGTATATTCAAACACATTTATACCTTGCCAAGAATCTTGCCTCCCCCTATTGTTATGATCAACACTAAGCTCTGAAAGCATTTATGTTTGGTGCTCCTGCTGAGATAGAAGTCAGATTAAATATTGTGTACAGTATGGAGAAGGAGCAATCAATAGAAGGCTAATTTCGGGATCAGCTCATACAAAGAGTTCAATGTAACTCATAAGCAGACTCTGATACTTTGGCATAGCTGCAAGAATGGCATCAAAAATATTTGCTTCCATTTTCAATTAACCACATTTTCTCTGAACCACAAGCTGTGATTAGGCCAGCAAACTCAAAAATCAGAGTTTGACACTGGCTTGTAAGCTAGCTACATTTTGTCTAGGATCACATAAAAAAACCCCTCTAATTGTCCATCAAGGGATGCAGAAACTTTTAATCTCATTGTAATTAAGTCCATGAATCACGTGTAATGTAAAAGATATGTGACATAGCCAAAATGTAAACTATAGGTTTAATTTCTTTGGCATTCCTCCTACTCCATTCCAATTTATTTTAAAATAGGGAAAAGAATACTTTGCAGACTGCATTAACAAGACCATCTAAATTAAAGGTCCATTCTACTGGGGGAAAAAACTTTTAAACTATCAATTTCAAGTAAAACAAAAACAAAACAAAATTTGAAAAAAGAGCAATATTAACAATCCTCCAGTGTACAGTTAAAAATATAATGACACTTGTGGGATTATAGTCCTGTGGTTAGATTCAAGGGGCATGATACACCCCAGATCATGTACTACTCTATCACTTTGTACAAAATGATATCTCTTTTTTATGGGAATAAATGACCTACTTAAGGAATGGAAAGTACCTTATATATTGGTATATTAAATATCCTACATGAGCAAATATCTGCCCCTGAAGACTCAGATTGCCCAGCTCCTGTTAGACTTCTCTCTTTTACATCCCCTCCTTTTTCTCACCAACAATACACTTTCACAAATTTCCTTTCCTGCCTGCTTTCAGAAAACTATACACATTAAAAATGGGAAGGAACCTTATGGAGTATCCAGTCCATCTCTCATATGAATGCAGGAACCCATCAAAACAGGAAGACTTTGAAGATTCCATGTGAAAAGCTCCAGTGAAAGAGATTCTACCATTGTTCTAGGCAGGCTGCTTATTTTTCTTACTTTTAGAATTTTGATTTTTTAAAAAAATATTCAGATTGTCCATCAACCATCCATCATCCATCCATCCATCCATCCATCCATCCATCCATCCATCCATCTCTTAATTTTAACTTGTTGTTCTTTGTCATACTTTCAGCCTCAACAGATAGCAGCTCAATCTCCCTTTTCAATATAATAAGCTTTGATATATATAGTACGTAGACTTGTGTTTTATTTCTCATCTTTTCTTTTGAGAGCTAAACACATCAACTCCTTTAGCAGTCTTCCCTGTTTGCCTCAATTTTATTAGAAACTCTTTATTCTGAGAGAAGACTAATAAGATACCAGGCAATTTCACTTTCCACATCTTCTTTTCATTCTGAGTTTTAGCCTTCCTGAGTGTACCCTTACAACCTTGCACTAGCAGTTTGTGTTCCTCCTTAATTATTAATCCCTGTTCCTATTTTCTATTCCATTTCCATTTTATTTTTTGACACTGTGCTTTCCTTATTCCCCGTTTTTCCCAAGGAGTTTGTGCTTGTGATTTCAGTATTTCATTTACCAGCTTCTCCCATCCCTTTAAGGCAGGGGTCTTCAAACTTGGCCCTTTTATGACTTGTGGACTTCAACCTCAGCCTGGCTGAGGAATTCTGGAAGTTGAAATCCACAAGTCACAAAAGGGCCAAGTTTGAAGACCCCTGGTTTAAGGCTTAGTTATCCTTTAGAATTTCAGCCCAAGATATGCTGCCCATGTATCACTTATTAAAACCTGCTTTCTCTTCAGCTACTCTAAGTAGGATTTGAGGGATGGGAAGGGGATCAATGAGAAACTAGTAACTGAAACCATGACCAAAATGATGGAGAATTTCTTCTACAACGGTGTTTCTCAACCTTGATGGCTTTAAGAAAGGTGGACTCCAACTCCCAGAATTCCCCAGCCAGCAAAGCTTGATGGCTTTAAGATGGCTTAAAGCTTGGCAGCCTTATGATGGGTGGACTTCAACTTCCAGAAGCTGACTGGAGACTTTTGGGAATTGAAGTCTACCCCTCTCTAACCTGCCAAGGTTGAGAAACACTGCTCTACACTATTCTGCTTGGGATTCATGGGAGACAGGGGACTGCTTGCAGGTGATTGCTCCCCTGAAATCTAAGAAAAAGGTTTCCTTATAGGCAAATGTAGTTTTCACAAGTTCATTATCAGTCAATGTATGCTATGGATCATAAAATACTTATGAAGATTTATTTGTGTGAAAATGAAAATCTCAGAATGGCATCAGATTTTTTTTCTACTTAACTTTATATTGGATTTTTTTCATACTGCAAGTGGATGATGAATCTTAGAAAAAGGGAGGATTTTCCACTGAGTCCAACTATTGTATCAACAACCCCAAACCACCATCCTAACCTTTAGCAGAAGATATTTCGTTTTTCTTTGCAGAGACCTTAATGCTGTCTGCTCCCATCTGAGTATTTTGGTGGATAAGGTTCACCTTCTCTGGGTCAAAAGTATAAAGTCTTACAGCTGAAAAAGAAAAAGGGGAACAATGACTTTTCAAGTAGACAATTACACTGAAGACTAACTTAACATAAAGTTCTGCAAGAACAATTATAGGCAGATCTCGACATACAACAACAATTGAGCCCAAGCAAGAAGTGGTTAAGTGAATTTTGCCCTGTTTTACGACCTTTGTTAAGTGAATCACTGCAGTTGTCAAGTGAGTAACACAGTTGTTAAGTGAATCTGACTTCTCTGTTGACTTTGCTTGTCAGAAGGTCAAAAAGGAAGATTCGGACACTGCAACTTTCATATATATAGTTGCCAAGCATCTGAACTTTGATCATATGACCATGGGGATGCTTCAGTGGCCATGGTTGAAGCCATAAATCATTTTTTTTCAGAGTGGCTGTAACTTTGAAGGGACACTAAATGAAATATTGTAAGTCGGCTACTACTTGTACACTGGGCTGTACAGTTATTACAGCTTTGAAAAGCACGATGTTGTTATTAATCTTTCAAAAAAAAGCCACCCCTCAATCCAGTAACTCCACAACAAAGTGCATTGGTGCCAAAATAACAGCACATGTGTAGTGATCCTATTATGCGCATGATCCTATTATGTGCTTGTATCCAATTTTCAAGTACATAAATTAATATGTCAGTATTAATATTAGACATTGATATTAACGCATAATGCATTAGCATGACATATATAATTCATTCTTTGCCTTCTTTCCCCCATCCCTAACACGCATCCATAACCCTTTACCATTTTGCTCATGTGCTTTAAACCCTAGGACCACTTTATTCATAGTACTGTAGGTAGATGTCCTTTAATTCCATATTTGTACCTTTTCATTCTTTGCCTGGGGGGGGGGTGAAGTGTAACCTCTAATTTGCTTTGCATTAAGCGAAGTTTGGTAAAGAATAACAAAAGCTACTTTCAGAAGAGCTTCCACTTTATTAAAAATGTATTTCTGAAAGTGAATACCAATTTCTTTAAAAGCACAGGAGACAATACCTTTGAAAGTATTTATTTTGCAATCTATTCAGTGTGCATTTATATGAAGATAAAGGCATACAATTCAACTGCATTGGACTATAATGATATTTGTTGTCAAAAATAAATAGTCCCAATATCAACCCCCATCCCCCACCGCAGTGTAGAAATGAGAAAGTAGCACGTGAAATCTTTTAGCTTTACATTTCAGTCCAGTCCAGTGCTTTAAAACAATGGAAAAGTCAATGAACAATTTTGTTATAAACAAAACAAACGTTTGACTGATGGGCTGGAATTACTAAGCTGCATGCTCCTTCTTATGCAGAATTTTTGTTTAGTTATTTATTTTGAAAGAACGATAGTTTCAATATGCAGGCTGTTATTAAAGGCTTAAAAAAAAAAGGTTTTCTTTTTTTCCTAAAGATGTTGAGGGATATTTTCAGAAGCATACAGATGGTCTGAAAGTCAGGAAAGAGTAGGCTTTTTTCTCCTATTCTGATTCATGCATTTAGCCAGTTGAAAGAACTACAGGTAGTCCTCAACATACAACAGCTCATTTAGTGATCATTCAAAGTTACAACTGCACTGAAAAAAAGTGACCTATGACCATTTTTCACACTTACGACCGTTGCAGCATCCCCGTGGCCACATGATCCAAATTCAGATTCTGGGCAGGTGGTTCATATTTATGACATTTGCACTGTGCCTTGGAGTCCTGTGATCAGCTTCTACAACCTTCTGACAAGCAAAATCAATGGGGAAATCGATTCACTTAACAATTGTGTTACTAACTTAACAACTGCAGTGTTTTGCTTAACAACTGTGGCCAAAAAAAAAAAGATAATAAAATGGGGAAAAATCCACTTTAAAATGTTTCACTTAGCAACATAAATTTGGGCTCAATTGTGGTTGTATGTCAAGGACTACCTGTATACCCCTTGTGTGTTAAGTTAAGAGACAGTAATGAAACAAATTCATAGGCTGCTTGGGGGGCTGTTTCCCTCATTGTGGGAGTTCGAAGACTTTCATGTGACCCAGGAGCCAAAGGCTGTCTGCCTTGAGAAATGGGACCATTAATCAGGGAAGAAAAGAAGTAAGTGGGGCCTGTCCATCTCTGGTAAATGGAATGGTTTATCTAAGCTTCTCCCTAATACATGTCAGGATTAGATGTGCAAAGCCAAGAGGTTATCTAGCCTTCCGTTCAGTTCTAAATACCAAGAATAAACAGTTCACATCCATTGGATTTCAAACAAACTTATGATGCCGCTTCTATCATCAACAATTTGTCTGCAAGGATACAAATAGAACATACAACCTTCATTATTTTTTTTTGTTTCCCTGTGCATACCCATATCACTAGCATTAACTTCTACTTCTGCCATCTTTGGGAAATTCTCAGATAGCAAAGCTGTTGTTTCCTCGGCAGTGTGCATCAATTTGGTAAGGCTTCTTCTTCTGTTGTCTGCTGGAATAGCTTCCCAAGCTGTCTTCTTATCTTCCTGAACAAAATTATTTACACTACTAACAAATTCCTGTTGGGTTAATAAAAAATATTATGTTAACTTTGTGTGCTGTATCCTGAATAAGACATCTTGTAAGTAACCAAAACTTTAAATCCCAGTTCACTCACATTAAGAGCTTGATCTTGAAGCTGCTTATCAGAAATTGTGTAATTTGTGACACTCATCAAGGAAAACGGTACAGATAACATTTCAACATAAGAAATTATTTCAGCTGGTGTAATGGGTCCTATGCTGTTCTTCTTGATTTCTTGTAATACAGCCAGAGGATCTTTTAATTCACTAATCTGAAAGAAAGTTTTAAATCATTATGCATGTCATCTAATATTTCATTTCAAATGAAGAGTCATAATTGGTGCTCAATTGGTACTTAAAAAGTGCTACTACCACTCTTTTTTTGCTGAGCTTGAAAGAGAGAGAATTGTATGGTGACAAAATATAGGTTGTCTACAGAGAAGGCATAGGTTCAAATGTGACCTTACCATGAATTTCTGGATAGGAATAAATATCTCTAAGTCAGGTGATCTCACAATGTTGCACTAAGAATGTTTTGCTCAATACCTATTTTTTACCCAGAAATTCTTACCCTTGGATCAGGATAAATTTAATTCTAATTAATTCTAATTATCAATTCCATCTACCAATTTCAGGGTATTTCTGTTATATGGACTAGTTCAGTGGCTGGACTACCACTGCAATAATCCACATGCTTAAACAAGAAAGATACCTAAATATATACTACTTCTCTATTTTCTCTTGTGAGAAAATTTAGTGTGGGAAATATCATTAATGTTAAAAATAGATTAGATGTTTGTAAAATATCTATATTCTCAGATCAGAATATAAAAACTGAAATCTTGCTTGAATCACAGCCTGATTCCATGAGGCAACATAAATAAAACCTCTTGTTGCAAATATAAGTGCATTGGCAATGTATCAAACGTTTGGGAAAGAAAGTTGTAATTAAGTTTTGAGGTGGTTCTCTAGCTTCCAGAAGAAATGAATACTAGCTTTGTATGAAGGAAGTCCATTTTATTTTTATTCTGGGTGTGGCACCATAGAGTCTTTGAAGCTTTCATAAAATTAAAGTAACTAAAGGAAACTACAATGAATCCAAGTGTACTTACTTCAAAAATCAGATAACCAACCCTCTTGGGTTTGTTCTTGCCACATACTGCAGGATATTTTCATTCTGCAGTTCTGTGCTCCGTCATTTTGACCACATAAGTTAGGTCAATGAATCAGATGCCTATAAAATGTCTTAAATTAATGGAGGCTTACAAGCCACTGTGTCTGGTATATTATCATAAGTGGATATGAAAGGATTGCAATAAATGTATACTGTAGGAATATGACAATTATGACTTATTCATTACATTTATTGTCTATTTTTCTTCAGAAACTTTTGAACTTTATCACGTTCTCTTAATTGCAATCCTATGGGATGATATAGACCAATACCAATAAACTCAAAAGTATCCAATTAATTTAATGACAGAATGAGGATTTGAACCTAGGTCTTCCCAGTCCCAATCTAATGCTCTAAGCATGACATCAAGCTAAAAAAATCTGACAACAAATATATAGCTATGTAAATCTTACTTACTTTAGCTAAAGTTTGGTTAATGCTTTTAGCTATACAGTTGTTCAGTTCACAGGTTGTTGCTGGTATTGCTGTAGCAATGAAAAAATAGAGTAATTAACCTGCCATAGTGTAATAATTATACATAGTCGATTTCCAGTCAGTGAAAGAAAGCCTCAGTGACTTTATGCTTTCACAAAGGCCAAGGTGTATAAAGTGCTCCTCCAAGACAAATATATAACCCTTAATTGCTAAAAGTAGGCTAGTGAAAATTATTCAGTGTATTTGTCTGTTTAACAGTACATTGGTTGGAACAATTAGAAGAAAAGCAAACTTCTATTTTATAATGACAGGGAATTCATGATTTAGGAGATTGACTTAGTGTGTGCGTGTGTGTGTGTGTGTATTGGCTTTTTTTCAAGAGTATGCATTACATATGAAAGTGCATCCCTGCAGCGGTTCCTATCATTTGTGTAAATAAAGCATTTTGTTGCATGATGTGCCCCAATTTACAGCCTTTGCTGGATGACACCATCATGCAAAAGAGGCCATTTGTGACATTTGCATAATTGCATGATTACCCACATGTAAAGCACTGCAGGAATTTGATTTCTTGTAGGTGAAGCCAGTAGTGTTGAAATCCACTTAACTTTCACTGTATGCAGGGAAATGACTTCTGTATTTCAACAGGCAAACATACATTTTTTTAAAAAAATATATAAATCTGAGTATTCATGCATTGCTTCATTTCCATATCGGGCTGATTAATCTAAGTGAGACAGATATTGGTGGGCCTCTCAGAAGACACACTTCTATAATAACAGATAAACCATAATATCATTTACCTTGGCAGGAAGTGCCATCATTTGGTTTAAATGGTAATTTTCCTGTGGATGGTTGATAACCTTCGTTACAGGTGCAGCTGTATCCTCCATCCATATTCTCACATTGTGCATGATCTCCACAGGCATCGGTTCCCAGTTCACTGCACTCATCTATATCTGGAAATTATGAGAGAAATTGATTTTTTTTAAAAAAAGCTTGTACATACAAACACGTTGTTGCTGTTTTGATAGCAAATCAGCAACATATCCATACTTCCTATATACAGTGAGTCCTAAAAAAAATAATGTTAGGAAAACTAAACTAAACTCTTCATCCAACTAGCATGAAAACATGCATGCCATTATAATTCTAGCTCAAGATTGTTGCAAGCAGTACTTAGTTTAGGAAATTGATGGTGCAATGCCTCATACCTGTTTGGAAAGTACTTGTCTGTTAATTGTAAACTGGACTCTAATTTCAGTTTGTTTGTGATACACAAAGTTTTCTTGCATGAATGAAATGCCCTTCACAAAGAGTCACAATATCTTTATTCTTTATTATATATTTCACGTTCAGTTGAAAGTTCCATTAAAAGCTTTTTCCTCCCCAACTAAATTATAAGCAAGAAAAGTACCAAACTAAGCTTATCCTTTAACCTTGTATACTTGAATTCCCATTTATACCTTTTTTCTGAAGTAAGAATTCTTGACATTGAAATTGTATAACAGTTAGCAAGATTTGATATCTTACTATTAATTTATACCTTTTCATGTTTTGAAATTGGTGCATATTAATTATTGTAATAGCAGAATGTGAATTATTCATGTTGAACTATCTGAAATAAGTAAAACAGCTTTCTTTCCCATTTCAAATGGATCAAAAGTTTTGCATTCAGTTTAATGCTATGCCTTTCCTTAGTGCAATCCAGGTCACACTGACAAATATATATATAGGCCACGGTGGACCAACTTCAGGTTTATGTGATCTGCTTTGTTTTTATTAGAATGATAAATAAAGTTATTAAAATATCTGGTAATGAGTGGAGCTTGTGCAATTTTTATATGGTATATCTTTCATTCCTTCTGAAAAATGTTTCCCCTTTGCTTTTTGGCATAGATTGGAAGACTAGACTAGACTAGACTAGACTAGACTAGACTAGACTAGAATAGAATAGAATAGAATAGAATAGAATAGAACCAGTGTGGTGTAGTGTTTAAAGTGATGGACAAAAACAGGGAGACTCACACTCTTTAGGCACAGCAACTAATTAGGTGATCTTGGTTCAGTTATTTTTACTCAATGGTCTAGTTGAAAATTGATTATGTGCCATCAAGTTGTCAACTCTTAGCAATCACTTAGATAAATTCCTCCATGATGATCTATCCTAACCTGGTCTTATAGGTTATCTAAAGGTGCACGCATTGCAACTTAACTATCCATCTTGTTTCTCTTCTCTTCTCTTCTCTTCTCTTCTCTTCTCTTCTCTTCTCTTCTCTTCTCCTTATTTTCTTGGTGATCCACAATATTTTCAGGAGCTTTCTCCAACATCACCAATGACCAATAAACCTCTATAGTCTTGCTATCCTACTTCTGTCCAGTTGAAAAACAAGCCTCTTGGTTGCTGAATTATTTATAAAAATAATACAAGTGGGATATAAAATAACTGAGTAACTAATTAATTAAATAATAATGGATTCCAATGTGAAACACATTGGGATTCCAGAAGCATTTGTATCAGGAGAACCCTAAGTCATTGTGAGGGCATGGGCATTCTAAAATAGTGAAAGGGAAGCAAAGAGGAAGAGAGAAGATATAACCCCCCCCCATCCAAATGAGAATTTCTTACTCATCAAACTTGGATAAGAAGAACCTTTTGATCTACTGAAATTCAGTCTGAACATAATCTGTGATACAGTTATTTCAGATTGCTAAATTTATTCAGGTGTTAGCTACTATTCTACCATACATTTTTCACTTTCCAATGTTGTTTTGATGACTTTTAAGATTCATCATAAAGGTTTGGCTATTTCTACCTATATTGGTATAACTCTTGCCTTGGAACCTTCCTATATTACTTTGGCCAAAGAAATACTGGAGGAAAGAGAAATATCCCACAATCTACAGTCCTCAACTTACTGCTTGCAGTTCACCTAGTGACAGTTCAAAGTTACAACGGCACTGAAAAAAATGACTTATGATAGTTTTTCACAGTTACCTCTTTTGCAACATCCCTGTGATCATGTGATTGAAATTCACATGCTTGGCAACTGGTTCATATCTGTGACCGTTGCAGTGTCCCAAGGTCATATGATCATTTTTTGTGATCTTCTGACGAACAAAGTTAAGGGGAAATCCAAATTCACTTTACAACCATGTTACTAAATTATATACTGTGGTGATTCATTTAAGAACTGAACCAAAAAAGTTGTAAAATGGGGCAAAACTCACTTAACAAATGTCTCACTTAACAACAGAAATTTTAGGCTCAATTGCAGTCATAAGTCGAGGACTACTTGTATGTACTAAACATAATAAACTGATAATGACTACCTTAGTGGAAGATGTGCAGATAAATAGTTTCTACCTGTAGGAGTGAAACCAAGGAATTAGGACTACAGACTAAATTACAATCCCAGAGATACACAAAACTGTAGTAGAATGGAATGTCCTTTTATATCAGAAAGATTTAATAAGTGCCAAAAAAATCCAGCATCTGTTTAGGTACAATAGTATTGAAAGATTTAGGTGAATAGCTCATCACAAACATGGAGGTCTGAAACACAGCTTCTGTTTCTTTGATATTTTGAGCTCTGCATTTAGAAAAGGTGAACCAGGAAGTAGATTGCACAAGGAAAAGCCAGAATAAATTAGAATAAGATGGAATGAAAATATGACAGAAAATAAGACGGGAGAGAAAATCTTAAATAAAAGCATAGAGATTAATTATAAAAGCCTGGATTCAACTATTCTTTAAAAAAAAAAAGACTCCCAATATGTTTGTAACACTTTTTTCCTGTGTGTTAAATAGTAAATCTGTTTTCATATCTATAGCCAATGAGCACACATTGGGAATAGAAGTTACATATTTGCATGGAGTTCAGATATATGTATGGAAATATTTCAATGAAATGGGCAATCATGATGTTCTAGGTTGCAAATTTCTGGGGCGGGGGGGGAGAAATCCCTGTTTACACAGAGGCCCCCAAGCAGGCATTCAGCAAAATCACAGTGGATTTGAGGAAGGGCTATATCCTGCCTGCATGTTCATTTTTATCAAAGACATCTAACACATGCTTATTCAATCAGATTATTATGAGCTCAAGGGTAAAGCTTGAAATATAGATCTACAACAGATTTTCTACAAAACCCATGAGCAAAGAGCAATAATGAGCACACGTTTAATTTATTATACCTGAATCTAAAACTTCTACTATGTCGGCTGAAATTTCAAATCCACATGACAATGTACTGTAGAACATCAATCGTCTCTTTCAGAAAAGCAACTAAAATAGAGTTGTTCTGAAGGTTAAGCACTGTAATTGGTTTGCCTATAATTGTGTTTGTAATGGAGTAATTTAATTAATGATGTTATGCTTTTAGTGTAACATTGTGCCTTCATTATTTGAGATCATTATCCTGATGACTTCTTCTGGTTTTAACGCATTGTGCCAGGAATCCACACAATGTGTAGCTGTATAAAAATGAAATAATAGATAGATGTATAGTCTTATGAAGTACAAACTGGCTCTATTTTCTTTTTCATTTACAAGAAAAGAAGCTATGAACTTATTTATTTAATTCAAATAAATATCAAGTTTTAAAACATACCATTATGCTTACGGTTCCCGCATTTTATATTGTTTATGTTTATAACTTAGCTTTCCAAAAGGAAATTCAATAACAAAATAAAGATAGCATACAAAATGCATATTCTAATAATAAACATCTGAAACAGTATATATAAATTTATTTTAACGAGAGAATTCAGTCCCATATTTTTCACACCAATGTGTGAAAGACTGAATTAAGGGTATCATTTGTACAGTAAAAGTGAAAAAAATCCAGAAGAAAGGTCAAAAGTGAGTTGTTAAAAAATAAATCTAAAGGATAGCTTTTGGATAAACGACTGTCCTTTGCTTACTATAATTATACATGTTTCATTATAATTTTTAAAATTCATTTTGTTAAATTTCCCCATTGTAGTTTAATTTGGTTTAGGTCACACTTGGGAGTGTTATGGTCAGCAGGTATTTAGCAGGTTGTGTGTTTGATACCTCTGATTTACTGCCTGTCTTTTGTTTTTTATTGCTATGTGATTGTTGATTTTATGATTTAGGTTTTTTTTAAATCATACTATGGACTCATTCCCCAATCCATATACGGTAAATTACCAAGAGATTGAAGTGAGATATAAATTCAATAACTAATTAAATTTGGTAACAACTTTCAGAGATTTCTCCGTTTTGTGCCTAAAGCTTTTGACAGCTACATAAAGCTCTGAGGCCTCAGATGGTCTGAGCTGAAAGCTTCCCAACACTGAGAAGCACTGAAAAATGCGAGGTTTAATTGTAAAAAGATAAATTAATATGGTTATCTATAAGAACCTGTAATGTATTTGAACATTTTATGGTTTATATGACTTATTTTTTCTTTATGCAAAGAATGGTGGACCTTAGTATACACCCTTTTCACCTGTTTTGGGCTAATCACTATGATGATATTAATGCTGAATGATGATGATGATGATGATGATAATAATAATAATAATAATAATAATAATAATAATAAAGTTGGAAGGGACCTTGGAGGTCATCTAATCCAACCCCCTGCTCAGGCAGGAAACCCTATACCATTTCGGACAAATGGCTGTCCAGTCTCTTCTTAAAAACTTTCAGTGTTGGAGCGTTTACTGCTTCTGGAGGCAGGCTGTTCCACTGATTAATTGTCTTCACTGTCAGGAAGTTTCTTCTTAGTTCTAGGCTGCTTCTCTCCTTGATTAGTTTCCACCCGTTACTTCTTGTCCTGCCTTCAGGTGCTTTGAAAAATAGCTTGATTCCCTCTTCTTTATGGCAGCCCCTGAGATATAAAATATTTTCTCTTCCCTGGGAACCACATTCAAATTTCTGAGTGAATTGCTGCTGAATGATGTTTATTAAATACATTAAACACGACATTTTGAAAATTGGAACATGATTCTAGAATATCATCTAAGGATTATCTGCGCTACAATCAATGATGTGAAGTCTTGATTAAAGACAGCAATTGATATTGTTAAGCTGTCATGGCTGTGAACGTCTGCATCTATTTAAAGCCTTTGACGTTTTCTGAAATCACTTCCCAATTATCTTTTGGTGATTTCTTCTACTCTTTAGTAAAGTGCAGAAGTGTCACTGGGTCATAATTATCTGTTTATTAAGTTTAATGTCAGTTCTTTCAACATTCAAGGCAGCTTATTAGATCCATTCATGTTACAGGTAAGTTGGTCTAAAAAACTGTTAACGGTTATCTGGTGCCCTCTGTATAGACAAAATATTTTTGCTGTGATTTCACTTTCCACTGTAGTACCAGTAAGGATTTCTTATATTGCTTGTCTTCATTTACTATTTGGGACAATAATTCTGAATTCTACCATCCCTTCTATGATGCTGTATACAATATAGAGTGCAAAGTTAGAGTGCTACACAGAATGTCCTATTTCTTTTATTGGTTAACATTTTTTTTTACTTCAGCTATTGATAAAATTAGTTTCCATACAGAATAACAACTGTAGATTTGGAATCTTTAAGCAAGGTGAACTGCTTTACTAAAATGTATATGGTACATGTGCGTTAAAAAAAATTCAAGTTTATCAAATATACACAGACAGACATAAACTTACACAAAAGACCAATTGCAAGTTTTTCCATTTTCATCATGGTTGCAAAGATCAGCTAGGGACCAATCTCATTATCAAAACTGTTTTTTTCTTCATATTAGTTGCATACAGGAGGCTGTATCCTAAATGCATCCCATAAAACTGTATAGCTGCTTCTCCAGGGATGGACCTAAACCAGGCTACAGGGATTTTTGATGTGATTGACAAAATAATATACTGCAAACCAGTCAGGTTTAAAAAGGCAGTTATAAATAGAATATTAAAAATTAATGCATACATTAATATTAGCAGCACTTTTCCCCTAAAACATAATAAACACTGTACATAATTTGACATGAATAATTCACCATAGCTCAAAATTTATCAGTGCAAAAGACAGAGGTTAATTATGAATGTGAATCATTTATAAGTATTTTTCAAGGTATCATTCAGAATTTTTTTAAAAAAAACTCAAAATGCAGTTCAAGGATTTATTGCTGGTGGACAATGCAAGCGAGGCTTTTGTAATAATACAATTGGATAATATGATATGGATTTATTAACAATCAAAACATGCACATGCACCACAATTACTTTGTAGTTCTGCGTATACTTGCAGTAGACTGGCCAAAGATATACTGCCAGGGAAAAAAACTGGTTGCATTATTCCACAATTGATTTGATAGGTCTGAGATTATTATCTTTGGAAATAATACAGTTCAAATTAATCTATTGAATATTGATGTAATTTTTATCACTTATCAGTTGGTGTATAGTTTAATCTAGATAATTAAAGCTCCATTAAAGCTCAGAAAGTTCATCCCTTCCAAATGTTTACTAGTTTTAACTTTAATGGCATTAATATTGATTTACATTAAATATATTTAAATATGAATTGATATTAATACAGGTGCTACTCAACTTACAACAGTTCATTTAGTGACCATTCCAAGTTACAACAGCACTGAAAAAATGACTTGTGACCATTTTTCACACTTATGACCGTTGCACCCTCCCCATGGTCACATGATCAAAATTCAGACATTTGGCAGCTGACTCATATTTATGATGGTTGCAGTGTCCTGGGGTTACGTGATCACTTTTTGCGACCTTCTGCCAAGCAAAATCAATGGGGAAGCCAGATTCACTTAATAACTGTGTTACTAACTTGACAACTGCAGTGATTCATTTAACAACGGTGACAATAAAGGTTGTAAAATGGGACAAAAGTCACTTAACAAATGTCTCACTTAGTAACATAAATTTTGGGCTCAGTTGTGGTTGTAAGTCAAGGATTACCTATATGTATGTGTCAGCACTGAATGATTTGTGCTATTCCATTGGGGACCAAAGAGCACCGAGGTCAAGGAAACTATTTTTCGGTGATGCTGTGGTGATTTGGAACAACTTCTCATAAGGTACACAATTAGTGTCATTTGAAGCAGCCTTCCATTAGTTAGGAAACTGAATTGCTTCGGATAATGTCCGAGGGTGAACTGAGATTTGTGCTGGCTAAATCATTTTATATCGTACTTTACTGTGAACATTTTACTGTTGCTGCATTTTAAATTACTGTAACTTCTTGGGAGTTGATAAGATGTGGCAGCATATCAATTAAATATTCAACAATTAAAATAGCACTCTGTAATATAAAGTTTACATTACCTTTATTTTAATTGTTAATGGGAAATAATTTGTGATCTGAATTCAGATGAATGCATAGGATAGAAGAAACTCTTATCTTTTTTCCTTGCGTATATTGGGAACTGCCAAGAATTATAATATTTTGATAGGATGTATGTTCAATAAATAGATAAGTTTGGTAACAACTTTGGAGATCTCTGAGTCTTGATAGTCAAATGAGCCTTCAGAGGCTGCTCTACAATCTCACAACCTTCCAACATTAAGAACTCCTGAAAAAAATGTGAGTTATAGTTTTAAAAAGTTAAATTAGCATGGGAGTCCTTAGGAATCTGCCATGTGGGATCTTAGAATATTTTGATAATATTACTTTGGAGAAAACAATATAACATTACGTGGATGTGTTTATGTTTAGTTATATTTATAAAATTTGGTTTCATAAAAGTCCAGCTTATATAAGCATGGCTTCATTTAACAAAACTTCTGAGAAACTGGAAATGTTAACTCTTCTGCATGATAATAGGATAAATTAAATTTTTTATGTACTGAACTACACAGCTGCTGAAAAATTTGGATAAACTAGAAAGAGAGTAAGAAAAAGAGGCATGAAAAACTACATTCCTTTCCTTCCTTCCTTCCTTCCTTCCTTCCTTCCTTCCTTCCTTCCTTCCTTCCTTCCTTCCTTCCTTCCTTCCTTCCTTCCTTCCTTCCTTCCTTCCTTCCTGTAAAACATGAGTATTGTGATTGCAGCAGGAGCAGCAACAGTAGCAATAGTCAAGCAGTACTGAAGCAGTTGCAATTTCCTCAAATTTCCTTCTCTCAGGAGGTATGGTTCTGGATTCTAGATGCATCCTATAAATTAGCTGATTTGAGATACCTTGGTTCAAAAATTGTTGCCTTATTATGCACTATTTTATGAAGTTAAGGGTTACAGAAACTAGAGTTTTTTACATATGGGATTGTGGGAAGAAAATAAGATCTGATTCCAAGCTGGGAGAAATATGCTGAAAACAAAATGGAGGCTGCAGGAAAGAAGGTCTCTGTTTATTTGGTAACCAGAAACTAAAATGGCAGCAGCATGTTTCCGGGATGGCTGTCAAAATGGGTTTGAGATAAGTGGGCTTTTATACATTGTTTGGGGCCTTGTGATTGAGATACCTGTTCCTGTGCAAGAACATGTCCTTTAATATTCTAATGGCTGTTGCCAGATTCCTATGGGGTCATGTAGGGATCATGGCTGGCTCTACAGGCAAAAGGGGAAATGCAAATCGTAGGTATTTATCTGAGCTACTCTTGCCAACTTGCCTAATTGTGTTGCTTATTTGAGTCTCTGTTTGCTCTTTGCTTATGAATAGAGTGGCCCAATCTTTCTGAATGGATTCAAAATCTTGTAAAAACTGGCCTCTTCATTCTTCTGCTCGAGGCTATTTTCCTATAGCAGAAAGACTAGGGCTGCTTTCTGCCTTTAAGAACATGTTTCTCCTCTTCTCCTTTAGGGGAAATATAATATTCTGCCTCTTTTAATATCTCCCAAATATTTCATTCTCGGGGGAGGGGGCTTCCCACAACAAATTCTATAATTAAAATTTTATTTATTTATTTGTATTATACCTTTATTATTTTACAAATAACACAAGGTAGCAAACATATCCAACACACCTTCCTCTTCCTATTTTCCCTACAAAAAACAACCATTTGAGGTAGGTTGGGGCTAAGAGAATGACTGGCCCAAAATCACCCAGTTGGCTTTTCATGGCAGAGGGGGGGGGGAGAACTCTATCATTAGCTATGTAAAAATGTAAGTCATACGACAAAACATACCACTGCTTGAGCATATGCCATAAACCAAAAGGCATTCTCAGTGGCTCCTGAGCTTGGTTTAATTCAATATGTTTTTAAACTGTGAAAAACAAAATGTATATTTTGGTATGTAATTGGCCTAACATGAAAATATTTAGGGAATCAAATTTTTAATCCCCCATACTTCAGTGAATACAGTAGAATTTACATAGGAAAAACATATAACTGCACAGAAATTTATTTCACTTGGGAAAATACTTTTTCAGGACTTTTCCAGTCCTAGAAATAATAAATCAGTTTATTTGGGGGGCAAGTATAAAATCACTGTGTTGATATTATTTTGTTCAAGTCACATCTCTTTACTTTAAAGTGATGTTACTTAAACAAGATAACATCAACAGAGGATTTTATACTTGCCCCCAAAATAAACTGATTTATTATTTCCTGGACTGGAAAAGTAAAAGAAAAGTATCATATTCCTTCCCCTAATGCAAAATAAATTTCTTCAAGGTTATATACAAAATTAAATACCATGTAAAGTATTAAGTATTTGTTACATGTAACAAGCACTTAATATTTTACCTAGTATTTAAGTAAATTAACAACAGGCAGAAAGGGACATAATGGTTAAGGAATAAAATATCAGTAAATGAACAGAATATCTCTTGGGATCTTACCTCTACAAGAAGTACCATCATTGGTTACAAAGCTTGTGTTCCCATTACTAGATTTGTATCCATCTTTGCACATGCAGAAGTAGCTTCCCATAGTATTTGTACAGTTTGCCTTTTCTCCACAAAGTTGTGTGGCATTTGCACATTCATTATCATCTGTAAATAAACAAAATGATTTGCTCTGTTAAAATGATTTCCCTCCTTCCAAAATGAAGACTTTTTAAAAAATCTGAGATTTTTCAAGTGGTATTGACTTTCCCTCCTACTTTTTTTTATTGATAAAAACTTTAAAATAAATCCAGGTATCAAAAGTCTGTATGATTCAGGAACTCCAACAAATAATGGATTTCATGCTTTTACTTAGATAGCTGAGGGGTTTGTGTGCGTGTGTGTATGAGTCTGGTGTGCACGTACACATACACATATACACACACATACACACACACACAGAGATACACACAAACACACTCATATTCTAAGGCAAATACTCGTGATCAGGAATAGTAAACATTTGTTTCTGGCATAGAGCTATGATGATAACTTCCTTTTGCTTTTTTTTTTAAATACAGAAAGATGTACTCAGTAGATTTTCATTTTTAAAATTTATCTAAAGATCTTAAAATCACTAGCTTTAAATTGGATGTCTTTGTTGTTGTGTGAGTGTATGTCTGTATGTATATTGTGTGCATGCCTATATATATATACATACATATATACATATATACATACATACATACATACATACATACATACATACATACATACATATTTGTTTTCTGAGGTTTTCGCGGGTATTTGTATGTAGGTCTTTGGTTGTTCGGGTTTTCTCCCACGTAAAATTGGAAGTGTCTTGGCGACGTTTCGACTGCTCAAAGCACGAAGCTGAAAGCACCAGCCTGAAGATGACGAATGGGACTTCGTCGAAATGTCGCCAAGACACTTCCAATTTTACGTGGGAGAAAACCCGAACAACCAAAGACCTACACACACAACACACACACACACACACACACACACACACACACACACATATATATATATATATATATATATGTAGGTCTTTGGTTGTTCGGGTTTTCTCCTGCATAAAATTGGAAGTGTCTTGGCGACGTTTCGACGAAGTCCCATTCATCATCTTCAGGCTGGTGTTCAGCTTCGTGCTTTGAGCAGCACGAGATTGCTGCTCAAAGCACGAAGCTGAAAACACCAGCCTGAAGATGACGAATGGGACTTCGTCGAAACATCGCCAAGACACTTCCAATTTTACGCGGGAGAAAACCCGAACAACCAAAGACCTACATACAAATACCCGCGAAAACCTCAGAAAACATATATATATATATATATATATATATATATATATATATATCTATATATATATATATACTATCAGTAAAAAAGGAAAGCGATCACCAGGAAGTAAAACACCAAGGTTTTGATAAATAAAATCAAGCTTTTGATGGCTAATATCTGCCATCATCGTCAGGATACAAGCCAGTCAGTGAGGAAACCTGCTTATAAGCATAGCCACACCTAAACTCTACGCATGGACCTTGTAACAGGTCCAAGCCAACTAATCCTTACTTTACTTACAGCCTTCAGTGATTCTTTCTTTTAGCTCTTACTTACATCCACCTAGCTTTCAATGGCTAGCACCTGCCATCATTGTCAGAATACAAGCTAGCTAGTGAGGAAACCTGCTTACAAGCATAGCCACGCCTAAACTCTACGCATGGACCTTGTAACAGGTCCAGGCCGACTAATCCTTGCTTCACTTACAGCCTTCAGTGATTCTTTCTTATAGCTCTTACTTACATCCACACAACCACCCACTTCCTCCCTCCCTTTAGTTCCTGAGTCATATAGGCAACGTGTGTTTCTCAAAATTAAAGGGTCCTCTGCACTATTGAATTGATTCTTCTTTCTGTGTTCCTTGGGACGTTTCTCTCCTCCACTCCTCTGGCACGCATCGCACTCATTTGCATTCTTCAATCCTGTCACTCCTTCAATCCCCCCACAATCCTTGCCACCAATCTCATCCACAATTTTATTTCCCCCCACTGTTCCCAGCATATCGCATCCTCCATGCTCCTCCTTCATGCCACCTGGTGCGACTCTCAATCCGGTTGCCTCTCTTTCAGTCTTCTGTAACGCCGCTCTCCGGGAGCGCGTGACCACCCCCATAATGGGGCGGCTATAAGTATTGATCTTCTGTACATCCATTGAAGGCATGTCTCTGTCTCGGTGGCTCTGATCAGTGTGGCCGCCTAGCAAAGGTGTTATTCTGCCATCGCTCATGGTAGGTGTTGCCTTTTTTGAATTCCTATCCATTTCCAAGGCGCCAGCGACCAGATGCGTTGTAGCGGGGGCACCATTGGGGACAATGGAGCCGATATAGTCACTGGGGTAGTGAGTTTGTTTTGTGTTGATTGGGACACTTGTTGTTCTTATTCTTGAGTATTGGGTACAATGCAAGGAGGTGTCTGGGGCATCCGAGGATGGGCTACTAATATCAACAAATTTCTTAATTGACGGCGGATGTACACACGAATCGTTAACTAAAGGGGGTCTAGATTGTAGATGTCTCTCTTCTTTGTTGCCAGTTTCATCTAATGGACACCCAGAGTTTTTGTTACTCAGATGTTTTTTCCCAGGTCGTCTACGCATTTCCCATGCCTTCATGGTCTGATATGCCGGGCGTAGGTCCACATGTCGATTGATTGACATGCTGTCTGAGAACCAGGCTTCTTTGAGTAACCTACCACTCTTGGAGGTGTCACTGGCAACCACCCTTACGTCGTCAAAATTAAATTTATGACCAAATTCCTCCATGTGAGTCAGTATTTGGGAGTACTGCTCACCTCTTCTTATTGCCAGCTTGTGTTCCTGCATTCTTGTTCCGACCCTTTTGGAAGTTTCTCCCACATAATTGCCTGGACAGTCATTACAGTTAATCCTGTAAACGACTCCAGATCTCTCAACTATGGGGAGTGGGTCCTTTGGTCTCATAATGCAGGAACGCAACGTCCGGTCAGGTCTATGTGCAACCCTTACACCATAGGGTGCCAATAGTCTGGTGGTGGCTTCCGAGACGTTGCTAATGTAAGGGAGGGTAATACGAGTCGTCTGTGATGGTGCCATCCCACTTGATGGATTTTGGGATGGTTTGGACAGAGTACTGTGGCGTCTGATGAATTTCATGGGGTACCCATTGTACCTACAGAGACGGAGGAGATGTTTTCTTTCCTCCATCCTAGCTTCGGCTGTACTGCAGTGGGAGTCCACCCTCTTAAAGAGGGTTCTAATGCAGCTGACTTTGTGGGCCACCGGGTGATTGCTGTTGTAGTGCAAAATTCTATTGGTGTGCGTGGGTTTGCGATAGACCCGGGTGGTTAAGGTCCCATCTGGCTGGCGTTGGACTAAGACATCAAGAAATGCCAGTAAGTGGGGACCCCATGGTGACCCTTAAGAACTGGGTCAATAAAGTGCTCAATGCCCTGAAACGAGGCAAAAGACTAGATGATGAAACCATTGCAAGGATACGCCCTAGCGACACAGCGGCCGCTAGATTTTATGGCTTACCCAAGGTCCACAAGGAAGGGGTTCCCCTCCGCCCTCTTGTAGCATTTAGGGGTACCCCCACATCAGAATTGGCCAAATGGCTAAGCCACCGCATTGGCCACCTGGTCGCAGACAACCAGACCACGGTAAGATCTGCGGATCTTATCCTGAGTAGGATAAGAACTTTGAGGATAGAGGATGACGAGGTGATGGTGTCGTTTGACGTCATCTCCCTCTTCACCTCTATCCCACAGGACCTGGCCATTGCGACGATCAAAGATCTTTTGAGCCGCAGAGGACCAGGACATTACCAGGATTCACTCCGCTCTGATGACCTTGTGGACCTTCTAGTCCTTTGCCTCAAAACGTATTTTACGTTTCAGGGCACAATGTATGAGCAAATAAAGGGCACCCCCATGGGGTCACCTATTTCAAGTGTTATTGCTGAGGCTGTATTGCAGCAGTTGGAACACGTAGCGATGACTCAATACTGCCCAAAGTTCTGGGCCCGCTACGTTGACGACACGTTTGTCATAATTAAGAGGAGTCAAAAAGCTGACTTTGTGGACACACTCAATTCGGTGTGCGTGGATCTGCAATTTACGGAGGAGGAGGAGTATCAGGGTAGGCTGGCATTTCTTGATGTCTTAGTCCAACGCCAGCCAGATGGGACCTTAACCACCCGGGTCTATCGCAAACCCACGCACACCGATAGAATTTTGCACTACAACAGCAATCACCCGGTGGCCCACAAAGTCAGCTGCATTAGAACCCTCTTTAAGAGGGTGGACTCCCACTGCAGTACAGCCGAAGCTAGGATGGAGGAAAGAAAACATCTCCTCCGTCTCTGTAGGTACAATGGGTACCCCATGAAATTCATCAGACGCCACAGTACTCTGTCCAAACCATCCCAAAATCCATCAAGTGGGATGGCACCATCACAGACGACTCGTATTACCCTCCCTTACATTAGCAACGTCTCGGAAGCCACCACCAGACTATTGGCACCCTATGGTGTAAGGGTTGCACATAGACCTGACCGGACGTTGCGTTCCTGCATTATGAGACCAAAGGACCCACTCCCCATAGTTGAGAGATCTGGAGTCGTTTACAGGATTAACTGTAATGACTGTCCAGGCAATTATGTGGGAGAAACTTCCAAAAGGGTCGGAACAAGAATGCAGGAACACAAGCTGGCAATAAGAAGAGGTGAGCAGTACTCCCAAATACTGACTCACATGGAGGAGTTTGGTCATAAATTTAATTTTGACGACGTAAGGGTGGTTGCCAGTGACACCTCCAAGAGTGGTAGGTTACTCAAAGAAGCCTGGTTCTCAGACAGCATGTCAATCAATCGACATGTGGACCTACGCCCGGCATATCAGACCATGAAGGCATGGGAAATGCGTAGACGACCTGGGAAAAAACATCTGAGTAACAAAAACTCTGGGTGTCCATTAGATGAAACTGGCAACAAAGAAGAGAGACATCTACAATCTAGACCCCCTTTAGTTAACGATTCGTGTGTACATCCGCCGTCAATTAAGAAATTTGTTGATATTAGTAGCCCATCCTCGGATGCCCCAGACACCTCC